TCATTTTCGCCTTTGTTCCCCTTGCCTTCAGGGACATGTTTAGCCAGAACACTGTAGCCGAGCTCACAGAGGTTGCTGCCTGTGTTCTGTTCTAGGATTTTGATGGATTCCTGTCTCACATTTGGGTCTTTCATCCATTTTGAGTTTATGTTTGCATATGGTGTAAGAAAATGGTCCAGTTTCATTCTTCTGCATGTGCTGTCCAATTTTCCCAACACCATGTGTTGAAGTGGGACTGTCTTTTCTCCATTGGATATTATTTCCTGCTTTGTCGAAGATTTGTTGACCATGGAGTTGAGGGTCCATTTCTGGTTTCTTTATCCTGTTCCATTGATCTACACACACACAAATTTTACCATGGTTTATTTCCATGCAGGCAAACACAGGTGATTTCCTCCCTCTTGATTATGGCATATTTCCAGTTTTAAAAGTAATGAACAGATGTTTCATTTATGAAGAGATTTTCTTTAAATAGGTAACATATATGTAAATCTTGTTATAGGAAAACTTGAGTGATGCCGGCCATTATTTCCTATTGGTTCAGCCTTTGGAGGGCAAAGAAACTTCACTGAGTTATTGGGAAAAATATCTTTTGGATAAGATGTATCTTTTACTTATGAGAGAACTGGCAGTGCTGTCTTCACTCCACAAATCTTGTGCTTTGCCACGGACCACAGCACAAGGTGTCCTGGCCTTCTGCTGTACCATTAGGTCTCCCATTAGCATCCATTAACCAACAGATTCCACTTCATGGCATGTAGCCAGACTTTCTTGTGAAATGGAAAATGTAGGGGTAATGATGCAATACTATAGATCAAGTATTTGCTTCTTGTTCTCATCATTTTGGTTTGTCTTATAAACAGATCAGATTTTTTTTTTTTACCAACTAAGAAGCATCAGGAAACCAAGTTGTTCCAACAGCACTTGGCTTATATGATTTTGCTTTATGACACTAACCAAAGTTACGCTAGGTGAAATTTTTCAGTGGCTTTATCCAAAAATCTAGAGCAAAAAACTTACACGAAGTTCCAGGTAGGCATTTGGCCTACTTACCCATTATTTGCCCCCTCCATGACAGATGTCTGAGATCCTGACAGGAGAACCGGCTCTGAGAGCAGACCCCTAGCGGACTGTGGCAACCAACACTTCCAACCACTTCGTGGGGGGCCCAGCCTCCCTCATCTCTGCCCGCCGCAGCTACCAGCGGGAAGTGAGGCTACACGCATCCGCCAGGACAACTCGTTTCTTGAAAATCCACAGTGACTATCAAGCACTGTGCTTTTGCTTGGCAGTTTGATGGTGAGCAACTGGCTGCCTTGAGTGCTATACAACACGGGGCACGGATATTACAAAAGGCTAGAACAGACATGTTGTAATTTCTTAAGGGTTTGGCCTTGACTCCCATGAATAGTTCTGCAGCTCAAACAAAACCAAAAATGTTATCTGTTTCCACAGCTGCCCAAACATATATGTACATGCATAGGAAATGTCTCGAAGGCTTCATGCCAGCCTGCTGACAATAGTGAAGACTGGAAGTGGGGCACTTTAAATTTGTCTGGAGCTATTGAAATGTTTACATATTATATTATCTGTATACTTTAAAATTAAATCTTAGGATCCTTTTGGCGGGGAGAGAAAGATGGATAAATTCACTGTTTTGTCATTTCATAAGAGCAGATGTTCTAAAGGAGTTAAAGACAGATGAATTTGAGAGGAATGAGGGTTGTCTTCCATTCTTTCCTTAACTATGGAAGTCCAGAGGACTATATGAAACACCAAAAGAAGGAACCAGGATTCGAACAGCACTGAACAGGGGAGGTGGTTTCATAGCTGGGAAAAGAAGCTTAGAGCAATTATACGATAGGATTTGATGGCCTAGTAATACTCAAACAGTTCCCAGATTGCGTTATTTCTGCTTTTACTGTTGAGTGAATGTGAAGTGTTAGAATATTCAGAAACGGGGATGCCTGGGTGGCTCAGGTGGTTAAGCATTTGTCTTTAGCTTGGGTCATGATCTTGGGGTCCTGGGATCGAGTCCCGCATTGGGCCCCCCGCTCTATGGGGAGCCTGCTTCTCCCTATCCCTCTGCCCTCCCCCTCCCACCCCTCCACGCATGCTCTCTCTCTCACCTGCCTCTCACATAAATAAATAAAATCTTAAAAACCCAGGAACAAAGTAACTACGTGACAGAAGAAAAGAGATGAGATCTAGAGGAGAACAGATGGTGGACAGCTTATGGAGACAGGAGAGCAAGCTGGGGACGAGGGTAGAAGGAAAGAGTTCTGAATCATCCACAACCACATGAGTGTCTAGAGCTCATCTAACGGGCGATGAGACGCCAGGTGAGGCCTTTTGAGAAAGAGCCTAACTGAACCCGTGTGTCCGCTCAAGAGGAAGGTGGCAACATTTTCCTGGATAGAAAATGAAAAGAAAGGTAGGCTTCATCAACTCCCCACTGAGGGTGGATTTCAAAGGTTCCTGTTCCTGAGGGGCTTCCTGTTCAAGGAGGAAGCCAGACAAAAAAACGGTGATAATTCAGGGTGACAAATTACTCATTACTGAGGAGCTGAGAGGAGGTTGTAACCAGAGTAGCTGGGGAAGGTTTTTGGAGGGTTCCTATGACTGGGGCACAGAGGACACAGTCTGAGGAGGAGAACCAGGACTACCAGGACCAGAAAATCAGAGCTGGGGAGTCGAGGAGGTTTTAGAGGATTAGCATAATGACGAATGGTCCAAGGCCTGCCTGGAGGGACATCACAGAGGAAAAAGAGATGTTGTATATGATATTAATAACTCCCACAGGAAAGAGAAGACTGAATGAAAGAGTGAATCTTAAGAAAAAGCTGAAAGGGGAACAGCACAGGGAAGATAGTCAATGGTATTGTAATTGCGTTATATGGTGACAGATGGCAGTTTGTGGTGAGCTCCTGGTGTGACAGCCTATACCGTGGATGAGTCACTGTTTGTACAACCGAAACTAATGTAACACTGTGTGTCAACTATACTTCGATAATAATTACAAAAACCCCAGATACTGCAACAGATTGAATGCAGAAACAGATAATTGAGTTTTCCATTAAACCAGCCATAGAAGAGACCTACAAAAAGTATTTTTAAAAAGAATAAGAAAAGGCTAGAGTGGAGTCACTGTTTAGTTTTTTGAGACACTCACTTCTGAATCTGGTTCAGTGATCACTAACAGCAGAAAGGAAGCAGGAGGCTCTTTCTTCTCTTCCTCCTTCCCTTTTTCCTTCCCTCCCTCCTTCCTTCTCACCATCATTAAGGAATTCTTCTGCAGGAGAATCAAGAATGAGGATGTTTCAAGGGGACCATAACAGATAATATAATGACCTTTTATTAGGAAATTACAGTATGTGCTTCAGTACAAGAAAATGAGTCACCATGTTAGGTCAAAAGCAACCGAAGTTCACAGAAGTTACAGGGACAAATGTTCTATCAGGGAGGGAACAAGCCACTAAAATAAAATACCACAGTTATCAAATATATCCCTCTTTTAAGTATTCAGAATTTCTAAGTAAGAAAATGAGACTCCTGGGGCACCTGGGTGTCTCAGTGGGTTGAAGCTTGTGCCTTCAACTCAGGTCATGGTCTCGGGGTCCTGGGATTGAGCCCTGCATTGGGCTCTCTGCTCAGTGGGGAGCCTGCTTCCCCCTCTCTCTCTGCCTGCCTCTCTGCTTACTTGTAATCTCTCTGTCAAATAAATAAATAAAATCTTAAAAAAAAAATTAGACTCCTTGATGATTGCCCTTAAATTCTATTATTTTTTTATTCTGCATATAGTCTGACATGTTTTAATAAGAAAATAAGTAATAGAATAATTAATGTGACCCTCTTTTATATGTACACAATTGTACATTTCCCTTTATTAAAAACTTAAGATATTGTTGTCCAAGATATTACTTAAATCACATGTATACTCAATATCTCTCAAAAAACAGAATTCCAAAAATGGTGATTGGTCATTCAATATTTGAAGAAAACATGTTTGTAGAAAAATGTTCTTTCCTAATGGATTTATTCATTTAATTAATTCGTTCCTTCAGGTTCTTTGCGTGGTGCTCATTAGTAATAAACTAAAGGAAATTTACATGAAGATGAAGATTTTCTTGCTGGTTGTGTTGGCATAATAAAGCTGAATAAGCACTCGGAGCCTCAGTGGAGCTGCAGGCACAGAGTTTAAGAGAGAGATTGTATGGTGGACTAACAGAAGAGGACAAAGCCAGCTCAGAAGAATCACTTCCCTAAAATTCCCCAAAGTGAGTCTCTCCAGCTCCCTGAACTACTTTCTGTCCAATTTTAAAGGTTTCCATTCTGTTGAATGGAAAACATGAATTGAGTGAGGAGCTCTACAGGGAAGCAATGGGGTACACCAAGCAAATAGGATAGTCAATGTCTTTTAGGGGCTCATGATAAAAGGAGGAAAGAGACGTCTAATTAAGACTATAACTGGAGTGGCTCAGTTGGTTAAGTGTCTGACACTTGGTTTTTGCTCAGGTCGTGATGTTAGGGTCATGAGATCAAGCCTTGCATAGGGCTCAGCACTTGTGGAGCCTGCTTGAGATTCTCTCTCTCCCTCTGCCCCTCTCCCCTGCTCACACACACACTCTCTCTTTCTCTCTCTCTCTCAAAAAAAAAAGGATTATAATTACAGACAAGACATGGGAAGTATAGTAATCAGGGACACATAGTATAGTGGTCATTGAAGATGAAGTGATACATTCTGACCAGAAGACCTAGGAGGTCAGTGACAGTAGAATGTCAACAGTGGTTAAGATGTTGACCACTGAGGTACTGAGAGAAAAAGGAAAGAGATTCCCACACTGGACCAGGCACAGGAGTTCAAGAACACTGAATATATTGAAATATGGCTTGTCCAGTATGCCCAGCATTGGGTGCAAGATGCTGTGAAAGGGAGGAACATGTAGTAGATGGTAGTGCTAAGAAAACCAATAGGAACCATATTACAAAGTGTGTTGAAGTCTGTTTGGCTTTTATTCTTTATTATATTAGGGAGCCATTGGAGATTTCCAAGGAATGAAGCAGAATGTCATTACATGTTCATCAGAAAGCTAACTCTAGCAGTGGGATAGAGAACAAATTGACATGATAGGGTAATTTCTTATACCATGTCAAGGGCACCATTCACAGCTCAATAGAATGCAGTATGAATGGTGCCTTCTGGAGGTGTGCATGCAGAGGCCTTGAGAGTGGAGATGGGAGAGGCAGAGTGGTAGCAAGTAAGATGCTTTGATGGCAAGCCGCAGAAGCTGATTCTAACTTAAGGAAGAAAGTGTGAATTTATCAGAAGGATGGAGGCAGCTCAAAGAATTGAAAGAAAATACTGATAGAAATCAGAACTATTTCATGCATCTAATGGAGAATCTTTTGAGGACGTTGTTTGAATCTCTTTCTGTCAGTTCCAGTCTTCTTGATACTCTACTCAAGAGTCAAGTTACAGGAAGAGAGGAGGTGATTGACCTATCTTATCAGGTATTTACTCTTTGGCCAAGAGAACATAGAGGCATCCTGATTGGGAGTTCTGCCAGGACTTCAGGCAATGGCAGAGGGAGAACTGAGGTGTTGTCACCAAAGGAAGGGGTACAGATGCTGAACCAGAGTCAAAGCCAAGGGCATGAGCTATACTAGCCATGGCAGAGATGACTACATGCCCAGTAAATAACCGATTGATTTCTCTTCTATATCCAGGTGACACTATACCTAGTAAAAGGATTTATTTCCTAAGTTTCTTTATAGCTAGGGGTGGCCGTGTGACTAAATTTGCCCTGAGTCCCAAAGTTGGATGGGAACTCAACAAACAAAACCTCCCTAAAAGGAGGAAGCTACGGCAGATACGCTTTTTCTTCCCTCAGTCCTTCCTCTTATCTTCCTGAAAAGTAGACATGATGCCTAGAGCACTGTCAGCAGTTCTGGGATTGCAGAGCAGAAAGACAGAAGCTTGGGTCCTTGAGGACATTTGGAGGGCCATATTGGTACTAGTTGCACTCCCACTGCACTTCATTTATAAGAGAGAGAAAAACACTTCAATGTTTTGAAGCCTCTCTTATTTCCAGCCTTTGTTACTATTGGCTTATTTCTCTCAGGAGCCTAGCATAATCATAAAGAAGCCTGTGACTGTGAGGAAAACTGAAATTGAAGGGGTACGTGGATAAAAGGTGAGGAGAAACAGGAAAAGCCCAAGCAATAGCAAACCAGGAGAGGACAAGGTTATGGAAGCCAGGGGAAATGAGAATTTCAAGAGTTTGAGGGGAACAAAAGCCAGAAATAGACAGTGGTTTGAATGATTTATACCCCTTTGAAAAATAAATTTGGTACTTGATTACTGACAGAAACAAAGGATTAGGAAACAGAGATGGCATGTGTACCTCTAGAATTCCATTCCCAGCTAAACTATCAAGTACGAAAATAAACAATGACATTTAGGGCTTCAAAATTTTTACCACTTGCGTGGTACCTTTTCTTAAGAAGCTCCTGGAATGTGTCCTGTATAAAATGAGGGAGTAAGCCAGGAAAGAAAAAAGATATGAAAGTAGGACACGTGATACAGACTAACAGGGAAATGACTTCTCAGAACAATCAAAACAACAGGAAGCACTGTGCAGTAAGCACAAAGAGCCGTCTTTCATTCCAGATTGGAACAAGAGGATAAAGGAATTTTAAAAGAAGAAACCTAGGGGCACCTGGGTGGCTCAGTGGGTTAAAGCCTCTGCCTTCGGCTCAGGTCATGGTCTCAGGGTCCTGGGATCGAGCCCCGCATCGGGTTCTCTCTGCTCAGCGGGGAGCCTGCTTCCCCCTCTCTCTCTGCCTGCCTCTCTACTTGTGATCTCTCACTGTCAAATAAATAAATAAAATCTTTAAAAAAAAAAAAAAAAAGAAGAAACCTAGGTGGGGGAGGGGCTACATGGGTGATGGGCATTAAGGAGGGCACTTGTGGTGAGCACTGGGTATTAGAAGTAAGTGATGAATCACTGAATTCTACTCCTGAAACCAATATTACAGTATATGTTAATTAACTATAATTTAATAAAAATTTGGAAAAAAATAAAAAGTTAGAGAAATGATTTCTATGTGTAGGACTATTGGAGTTTGGAAGAAAAATTAACATAGGGACATAGAAAACTAAGCAGATGGAGAGATAATTTAGTTGTTAATTTGAGAACAATCAGTTTTGTAGTAAAGGAATTTATTACAATGCTCATGTGGTTCAACAGGAAGGAAAACTTATATTGTCCTAATGTAGAGTCCATATATTAATTTAAGCAATGCAAACTGTTATAATGGGAGGATTGTGAAGTGTATGTGTTTATAATGATATAAGAAAGAATAATACTGATTGATCATGATAGAAGCCAATTGATACCATCTCACTAGAAAAAAAGAGTTAATTCATCATAAACATATTGTTTAGAAATTTGGGCATAAATACCAGATAAAATAATTAGGAAAGTTGAAAGTGGCTGCCTCTGGGAGTTTGGAAGACAATGGTAACCAAGCGAGACAGAGTTCTTGCCCTTGTGGAGAATGGAAGTTAGTGGGAATAACACACAACTATAGAAAAGGTTAATAATGTTATAAGAGAACGTATAGGAAGTATAGGAAGCAAATGGGCCAGTTGGGATACAATGGATCTGTTTTATTGGGTTTTATGTTAAACTGGGCTTTACCAAAAACCGTATTTGTTTCTATCGTTACTGCTGGAAAACTTTACCAAAAGAATCTGTTGCTGTTCAAAATCTTGACTGTGGGTGGGTACATGAACACACACAGGTGATAAAATCGTGAACTAAATACCCACAGGAGCATAAGTAAAACAAAATTGAAGAAGATGGGTGGATTGTGCCTATGCCAAATACTGGTGGGAATATTACACTCTAATTTTGCTACATACTACCACTGAACCTGGTTGAGTAGATATTGGATCTCTCGGTTACTTCTAACGTAAATCGATCACTATCTCAATAAAAATTTCAGTTAAAAAATGTAGTATTGGTTTTACGGATTCAAGATCTTCCAGGTTGCAAGGAACAAGGGCACATTCAAAGTAGCTCAGGTAATAGTACAGAGTGAGCACAAGTGTTTCCATATTAAATATAGCTGGCTTCAAAGGAAATTATAACAGTACTCAAGTCATCAGATAGTAATTCGGAAGACACGAAAGTTGAGAGTCTGTAGTCCCCTAGGTTAGGGCCCTGTTCTTGTGGATAATTATCAGTGTCTCCACATCTAGTGCTCCTGCTATGACTGCTCAGTCAACTCACTGAACCTTCATTCCCTAAGAGAAGACCAAAGTGATTTATCCCTCACTGTCCATGAGAGGATGCTTATGATGGTCAGAATTCTTGGTCACATGCCATAAACTCTGTAAATTTTCCAGTGGTCCTGTTACAAAGCATTCTCAAACCGGGTTGCTTAAATAACAGAAATTTAATATCTTGTAGTTACAGAGTCTAGGAGTCCTAGATCAAGATGGAGACAGGGTTGGTTCTTTCTGAAGGCTGCCAAGAAAGGGTTGGTTCCAGACTATTCTCCTTGGCTTCTCATTGGCTGTCTTCATGTTCATACGGTGTTCACTCTATAAATTCAGTCTGTGACTGAATTTTTATAAGGATACCAGTTGTATTTGATTAGGGCCCGGCCCATCCTAATGATGTCATCTTAACTAATTATATCTGCAAGGACCCTATTTCCAAATAAGCCCACGTTCTGAAGTTCCAGGGCTTTGGGCTTCAACATGTGAATTTTGGGTGGACATGATTCAGCTGATAACACAAACCTAGATCAAAAGAGTTTAAAAGGGGATATTATTGTACAAATGCAGGACACACAGGGGTCTCAGGAGCAGTGGGAATCGGCGCCTGGAAGACCACCTTGACTCTGTCCTCTACTTCTACATCACAGCTCTACTTCTCTTTCAGAGTTTACTGGCACGGGGCAGGGAACATGATGATGGATGTCTCCAGAGATCTACGTTTCTATCTTCAGAGAGAAAATGAATCTTAGACTCACAATTCTAAATTAAAATATTTCAGGACAAAGCTTGTGATTGGTCCAACATGGTTTCCCCCCCCCCCCATTGCTATGGTCACAATTCTTGCTAAATATGAGCCACATGGTCTGAAGCCATGTTTTTTTCAGAAGAAGGGAGTATTTTTTTGTAGGCCAAATGAAAGATACCCATTACCTTGTCTCTGCTGAGTCAAGGCCACCTCCAAAGCTACCTCCTGCTGTTGGACTAGGCCCCTCATAATGGTCTAACCAGTGTGGCCAGGGTCCCAGTGTGCTGTGACACCGAATGGTACCAAGCAAGCTCTTTAGTAGAGCTCTGTGGTCAAGGTAAGCATTCAAGGTTTTCTCAAAACTGGACAGTATTAGTTAGGAGGCCCATTAAACAGATGTAGATACAGATCCAGATATAATGGCAAGTATAAATGGCAACAATCCCAGAATAACATATAAGCTGTGGGGTTTTTATAAAACAAGTTTCTAATAGCTTTTTTCCTTATATATTTGTTCTCTCTAAAGTCAAATGTAGAGGAGAATAGCCGAGTTAATTGGGCATTGTGTATGTTACATTCTCCAGTTCATTAAGGGTCCTTATTCTGAAAGTTTGTAGATGACTTAAGACTGTATACTGGGTAGAAAACCAAACCAAACACCACATTTCCAGAAAACTTTTGCCCACACAAACACCTGCATGCAAATGTCAATAGTAGCTTTATTCTGAGTTGTCAAAACTTAGAAATAGCCAGAATGTCCTACAATAGGTGAACAGAGAAATAAACTGTCATACATTAAGACTATGTAATGATAAAAAGAAATGAGCCATCAAGCCATGAAGACATGGAGGAAACTCAAACATGGCTAAGTGAAAGAAGCCAATCTAAAAAGTCACCATCCTGTATGATTCCAACTACAGGACATTCTAGAAAAAGCAAAAACTTTAAAGACAGTAAAAAGATCAGCCATATCAAAGATAAACAAGGCTGGGTGCTAGCTCCAGTGGTAAGGACAGATTTCGAACAATTGCAAAGGGGAAGCGAAACTAGAGTGGACTGAACTCAACCTTAATCTGTGCAGAGGTGGCTGGCATTTTAGGGAGAGAAGGAGGGGGAGGGAAGGAAGAGTACGAAGTGAAAAATTACAAAAAACGAGAATGGGGGAGTTAATCCATATAAAACCCATCTGGGTTTGCTAACTGGAGTTTGTGGAAGGTAGGCTCCTACCCTCCCACAGAGGACAGGGGCTAGGGCCCCTATCTTCAGATGTTGGCTGAAACAGTCAATTCTTTAGGGAGCCTTGAATTTTCTCAGGCAGGTACTTTAAGGGGGGCTAGGGTGATCCTTGGGATGCTGTCATGAGCCGTTAGCGACTACATTAGTGTTTGTTCCAGTCTTCACAGTCAAGAAAGAGCTCAGAGGAGCCTGGTGAGGGTTTAGACAGAATTATTGGCAGTGGTTCCCACGTCTTTCTTTGGTGGGGAGGGAGAGAGGGATCAACAGGTGGAAGACAGGGGACTTTTAGGGCAGTGAAACAATTCTGAATTCTGTATGATACCATCATGGGAGGAACCTGTCATACATTTGTTAAAACCCGCAGAGTGTGTAATACCAAGAGTGGAACTAATGTGAACTACAGACTTCCGCTAATCATAATGTATCAACGCCGGCTCATCCATGGTACGAAATGGACCACACCAATACAGGGTGTTCATAACAGGGAAGGGGTGTATGGGGAGGTGAGGGATATGCAAGGATGCTGGGTACTTGTGGTTCATTTTTTCTGTCACCCTAAAACTGCTCTAAAAATGAATCAATGGATTTAAAAAGGGATTTTTCAGATGAAAATTTTTCATTATTTTTTCAGTATTTTCAAAAACATTTTTCAAAAATTTTCAGTATTTTTTCATTAGGTTTGAGATGAATCATTGAACGTGCAGTGAGTTCTACCGTTCTACTTAACACAACACGTTCCAGACTCGAGCCACTTTAGCACACTACGTGTAAAGGAAAAGTTATTACTGAAGAGTGGATTGCTTCAAATCTAACGCATGATGTTAAAAACATCTAAAGCAGAAGGTGAGGGGGCACCTCCGTGGCTGAGTATGTCCTGCGACCGACTCTGAGTTTCTCCTGGGGTCTGATCTCGGGGTAGTGAGATCGAGCCTGTGCAGGGGCGAGTGCGGTGCTGGGCGGGGAGTTTGCTTGGGTTTCTCTCTCCCTCCGCCCCCACCCCCACCCCCACCATGCTCTCGCTCTCGAATATATAAATAAATCTTAAAAAAAAAAAAATAAAGTAGAAGGTAGCCTTCTGCACCCCGCCAGCCCCTCTCCTGCTCCGCACCGCCCCCCTGACCTGAACTGCCCTTCTTAATTTGGTCCTCACAAAAACTTTGTGATAGCATGTGATAAAAAGCAGGGAAGCTTTAACACTGCCTGCTCAGGGAGCCAGTGCTGTGCAGCCTCTGGGGACAGCTCTGGGGACAGTTTTCCATATGTGATTTGCCCGAATTTCCATGGGAAACAACCCAAAAGGCACCTATTCAACGCCTGGCACCGAGGAGGCCCTGAAGGAAAGACACTGTTCCTCTATTCCCCATAAGGAATATTTGGAAACAGACATCTTTATTTAAGGTAAAGCATTTTTAAATGCGCTCAGACAAAAAGATGAAAGATTCTGTAAGGGGGAAAAAGAAGTGCTTTTCCA